GAGGCGACGCTAAAAACCGCAAGACTCCGTAGCTCTTGCGCAGGCGCGAAATAATTTTGAGTCATGTCTATGATTTTGCTCTTGCCGCCTTTTTATTCGAATTCAAACAAACGATCTCAAGCGTTCTGATCTGAGGAGTAGAAATAAACTGGGCAGTAATCTACTAATAATTGATAACGTAGGCAGAAAAATGATACTCATATACAATGTAAACGCATTCTTTATTAATATGAATGGAAAATAAAATAAAAAATAAAAAATTATTTCAACAAATTTATAATGCAAAATAAATACATAACAAACATGTTTAATTAATTATTAAATTTATTGTAATTATGGACAGGTTTCTATGAAACAAAGCTAAAACATCACAAAGAACGAAGAAACAATTCTCACTTTAAACTTTTTCAAAGGTTTTTATTAAAATAGAAAGTACAACTGTTTCGATTAGATTAAGTCTTTCTGAAGAGTACATACAAAATGGTTTTGTACATTTGAATCCTAATGTACTCCTTTCTGCTTTCGTTAACTTTATCATCTAGAAAAATAAAAAAACCTTTAATCAAGGCTTCTCATTTAATGTTTAGAAAAACTCATGTTTGGGATTAGATTACTTACGTACTTTATTTTTTCTTAGATAGGAAATACTCCTGCTTAGCCATTTTACGTTTTCTTAAATTTCTACTTGAACTTGAACTTTTTCTATATGCTTTCCAAATTCCTTGAGTGCTACTTGTAAGGCTTCATCATCCAGTTGATTCACTGCATTGCGATACGTTTCCATTGCTATCTTCAATTGCGTTTCACGGTCTTGATGTACTTTGTTATTTATATTTTTCTGATTTTGAAAATGATTAATATAATATAACAGATATAACGTAAAAACGTCGGCCTAATAATAAAAAGAAATACATTAAATTGTTCGACACTATTTACACCAGCACCACTTATAAACTAAACACAAAAATAAGTAATTCTTTTAAGAAAGCAGAATAAATTCGCTTTTTAAACAATGATTATGAGTCTTTGTTTAATGCATAGATTAAACACTGTTGCATGTGCACAATTCTGCAGATGAAGGAAATCCAAAAACGAATGAAATAAATCAGCATACACGATTAACCATGAATTGAATTGACGGTTAAAAATGTAGTTAGAGGTTAGAACGATTTAAAAATATGAAAAAGTGCAGCAAGACGATTCTCATAGACATTCTTGACAGGAGTCAATTTCGCGCCTGCGCAAAAGGTACGGAGTCTTGCGGTTTTTAGTGTCGCCTG